TAGGAAGTTTTAGGTTCAGCCATCCAAAAACACGGGCGTTTCCCTCACCACAGCTTTGAACTGCTCCATCCACTATCAGCAGGCAGGTTAATACAATGGAGTATCAAGAGACATTATTCCAAACCACAGAGCCCGCTGGCTTCAAGATCAGCTTAAGGCCTCCTTCTAAAGTCCTGCTCTGTCCATTTCCTAATAACAGCTTCCTTCTTCTCCTCTCTCCTCCTCCTTCTTCAGTTCGTGCTCATTTTAACAACACTTAACTTTTTAAATATGTAAAGTAGGCGGAAGAGCCCATAGTGTAATTTTCTCAGGCCCTGTGTCCCCCGAGTCTGGTCCTGCTTCCAGGGATCTAGTTTCCTGAAATGGATCCAATGTCACCTGCCTGAAGCCAGGTTGCATCTACACAGTGATCGCAGGAAGAGGGTTTAACCTGTAAGCAGGGCCCTTTAAGGGAAATGCTATGTGAATTTCACATTTCAAAATTCTTCTCCCCTTCCATAATGGACAATAGAGTCCGTCACTTTGAGGTTTTAGTTCCCTGGCCTGAAACTTAAAAAGCCGCAAATGACAAAGTCCAGCCTGAAAGTCAAAGATGGCCCTATCTGAGCACCTGTTAGGCAGTGCTGGATTCACCCATCTTCCCCCTTGAGGCTGGGGACCACAATCATTCCTACACCTTGCCTGGGTGCTCAATAAATGTGTCTTGATAGAATGACGGAATAAAAGAACACTAGCGATTATTAATTATATTTTGATTCAAGATTTATAATATAGAATCTAAAAAAGCGATACGGTTTCCTTAAGTGTTCAAGTTTTATGTCATCATTATTATTTTTTTTGCCCTAGGTGAACAAGCTACCATATATAAAGCTACAAGACCAGCACTTGCATCACAGTATATATTCAGTAAATTGGACCTTCTTTTCATGTACAATATAAAAATGATCTGAATTCTTAAAGGCCAGTAAATATGAAATTGTGCTTGAATAAGCATGATCCAACTGATAACCTACTTCAGTTATTTTCTTTTTCTAAAGTATGTTGAGTTGCAACCACATGAACATCAAGAACGTTTACACAGCAATTCCATGAACAATAGGGTCCTTACAGGACTCTGAACTTGTAGATGTAGTCTGGGCACACCCAACACCTCTGAAGGACAACCCGTGTCTTATGCTAACATAAAACATATACTTAGCGCCTTGAGATGTTCATTGATATAGAATAGAAGCCTCTTTTCCATTAGAAAATTCTTATTTGTACCAAAAAGAGATCTCAGCAATAATTTCACAGATGAACGAACTGAGATGAAGAAAGACAGAGCTAGTCAGTGGAATCAGCTAGTTTCCTGATTCCAGACCAACTTCACCCATTACAGTGAAAAGGAAGGGAGTGGGTGGGGTCAGAATCTCTGGCATTTTGACAAAGGAAAACTCAAGATCACGTAAGACCAACTTGAACGTTCTCAGTATCCACGTGGTTGCATGACAGGTGTTAGACCCCTAGCTCTGAACTGAGAATACCATCTCTTTGGAAACCCCTTTTTACTTGAGCCCTTCTCAGAAATAATGTGCAACCCTCTGTGTCATTTAGTCATTTGATAACTGCACAAGAGTTCTTCAAACTAAGAATTTCATTCTATCTTCACATCTTATGAGCTCAAAATGGACAGCAGTTATGACGGGCACCTAATGAATATGCCAGCATCCCCCAACATCCATGGGCAGGGAGTTAGATGAAAAGACAGAGCCCAGTATCCTGATGCCAAGGAGTTAACTGCCCGATTTCATGGCTCACCCCATATTTCACAGCTGTTCCAGAGGAAACATATAAACAAGCTCTAACATGATTCATAGGGTCTATTTCAATGAGGCAATCTTATCTACTCAAATAACAAAGTTCATAACTAAAGCAAAGGACACATTATTCTTGACAATTAAGATATTCGTATTAGTTTCCCACTCTGAAATAAGCTGTTTCTAAGGAGACAAGGGGGTGAACTTGGAAATTAAATGGTCACAGAGTGGAAACCATCACTTTGGTCTGGGCACAAAGAACCCTGGTTCGAATTTCATCTATTAACTTGAATCCACTTTATGTCACAGAGGAAACCAGGGGTGCTTCACTGGTTCCATTCGACTCAGGTGTAAACAAAGATTTTGCTGACAGATACCATCTCTGTCCCACCACATCCCATCCCTGAGTGATACGAGTTGCTTCTGGTTGCCTTGTTTCTTGCTTTCTGTCAATTTTCAAGGAGCACATGCCACTTTTAAAGAATAAACAATGCGCGTCGTTGATGACGCCCATGGTTCCATGGCCAAGAATGAAAGAAGCACATTTTACAGAAGAATCATTCTACGGTTCCAGAAATTTCCAACGGGCATCATTCCAAGCTCGATATATTTTACTCTGTATTTCTTAAAGCATAGAACTCGAGATTTTTTGATGCCAAAAAATGTCACATGGTTGTTACCCTGAAAGGAGAGGAAATCAAAAGAACCGAGAGCACAAATGTAGGTTCTTAAATTTCAAAACACAACCTGAAGTATTAAATGGCTTGACAAAAATCAGTTATGACTTTCCCTTGACTCAGGAATAGAATTTTTTATGTAACAGCAGCAAGAGTTAAAATCCACTTAATTCACCATCACCAAGGCATTTTCACACACCTTATCTCACGTGGAAAACAACTCCCCAAACCAGGTAGATGTTTGGGGCCTTACCTATTTTTGCAAGGGATGCTAGGAGGATCCAGAGGGTGACCTCGTAAGGAATTTGCACATAGTCGTAATCCAGTGCGAAAACAGATACCGTCTCAGCTGGCTCAGAGCCGGCAGCAGCAAACCGAACATCAGGCTCATGCTGGGGAGAGGCATTTGTGGATTCATTCAAATCAGAAGATGCTCCACCACACTTGAGGGCCACCAGGAAGAACAACCAACTCCAAGGACCGAAAGGCACAAGCATCTGCAAACCCATGCTGTGGGCTTCTCTCACTGTGGGTGCCTTCGTGCGCTGCACTTCTGAAGTGAGGAGGGTTTCCAGAGAGCGGCAGCATCTACCTGGGTCACAGGTGAAACACGCACAGTCCGTGGGTCATTCCGGGAAGAGTCCGAGCACGTCATTGAGTTCTGAGTATAGATATTTTCAAAATCGCCTTTAAAGTATCTGTGTTCAGGCAACTCAGCCTCTGGCCCAAATGCATCTAGTCATTCAATAGACTTGAGAAAGCCCAGGGAACTACCTGTGCGACCTTCATCCGATCGTGATTTGAAGAGCAATCTATGAAGCAAAAATACTTCTTCATTCAAAGCTGTTTCCTCACCTCATTGCACACTGGTTTCGCTTTGTGAGTGAAAATTAAAAAGGGCACCACGGTGCTCATTCCGGATGTCACTAGAGCCCTTCTAACCAGGAAGAGAATTCTTCCCTCTTTTCCAGATCCTAGAAAAGGAGCTACCTGTTCTGCACCCCGTCCTTATCTCCTCCCCCTGCTACCTCACTTGTTTTGAATGGCCGAGGCTGCAGGTAGCTCTTGAAAAACACTTAATTATTTGCTTAGATATGACTTTTGTAATGAAATGCTTTCCCTGAGTTCTCTGGCGGGGGTTACACTGCTGACACCTAGTGGGCGGCCACAATACTACACCTTGACCGGTTCAAGGATGAATGACGGCGTATTTCTCATCCAAACCAGGGCACTTCTGAAAGTACAGGAGACCTATTAATAATCATACCAGACCACAGCTGGAAACCAGAACAGTGCTGGAAAACTGTGGCATGTGGTCACTGTAAAAGAGGAAGGAGGGGCTTCTCTGGTGGCGCAGTGGTTGAGAGTCCGCCTGCCGATGCAGGGGACACGGGTTCGTGCCCCGGTCCGGGAAGATCCCACATGCCGCGGAGCGGCTGGGCCCGTGAGCCATGGCCGCTGAGCCTGCGCGTCCGGAGCCTGTGCTCCGCAACGGGAGAGGCCACAGCGGTGAGAGGCCCGCGTACCGCAAAACAAAAAAAAAAAAAAGAGGAAGGAGGAGGCGGCAGCATAGAATATGTCTGGACAGTAATTCAAAACACGAAGCTCTAGCGCTCCATAAACTTTACACAGTATTAAAAAAAAGAACAAGCAGAGGAACAAGCTCCATGAAATACCTCTAAAAACCAGTTTTGAAAAATTCTGTGCCACATCCAAACTTTTCATTTTAAAGAATCGTGTTATTACGGCCTATTTGTTCAAAAGAAGCAGAATAACAGACTGTTTGTGGAAGAATTTTGAGATGCATGCCATGAATCTATTCCTACTTCCTCTACATCTGGCCGATGACTGTAGCCAAGTCACTTACCTTTCAAAGCGTCCTTGTCTAAAAAGAGGGAACGGAATAATATCTATCTCATCGAGTGGCTAGGATCATTAAATGAGATAAAGCAAGTAAAGTATCTGGCATGTAACTGATGCTTAATAAATGTTAGTTTCTGTTATTAATCACATCTGTTATTCTATCTGAGGATAAGAATTCTGTTGCAATGATGAACAATGCTCAACAGAGAATGAGAATTATTATTCATAATCCATAGACTATCTCAACACCTATTCCATATCAAACTGCAGGGTGATTTGCATCTTTTTTCTTCATTCATATTAGTGCATGTAGATGGTTCCCATTTCAGCCCCACACTCAGCGAAGATCACTGGAAAATTGAGGTGGAAAATGTTAAGGAAAGCTAGCTTCTAGACGTAACTTCTTAGTAAGGCAATAGAATTAAAAGCTCACATTTGGATTTTTTTTCTTCTCTTTCCTTCACAGTTTGCCTCTGAAATTGACCAGATCCAGTCACTAAAACGAGACTATCAGGTGAACCACAGATGATGACTATACTGGGTCAATTTTTTTTTTCAGAAAAAGTTACATGAATAGCCTTGTGATGGACAACTTCTTTAAAATAGATATTTTATCTTTTTATTTGAATTTTATTTTATGTTTCTTCTAAAAAGAAATGAGAGAGAGAGAGCGTTTCCCATGGTGCTCTGTGGAAAGACCAAAACTAAGCACCACGAAGCCTCTGTCCTCAGGCATTAATTATCTGACTGACTTTGAGAAAGTCACTTTACCTGTTTAAGCCTCAATTTTGTTGTCTCTACAATGAAGATGCTATACCAGGTATCCTTTTCCTGCTCTAAATTTCTGAATCTTTGTGAATACACGACAACATGTTTTAATCAATTGATAGCTGATGGTGTCAGATAAGTGATGCCACTATAGGGAGGGTAATAGAAGAAAAACTAGAATTCTGTGGCGTCCTGCTATCTTCTTCCAGGATGAGGTTTCCTCGTCAACCTGGTCAACTCTTGGTATCACTTCCACCCATGCAGCAGTACTTTCACACAGCTGCCTGAATGTTCTTTCTAAAGTGCCTTCTTAATCCGGGTTCCCTACAAAACAGTGTACGACAAAGATTACATGAATTCTGTAAACCAAAGGCAGCAAGAGTAAGAGAAAAAGGGAAGCAAGGGAAAAGCACTTTCAGAATGACAGCATGAGAGCCCTGGAGGCTCTCCCTCGTGGGAAAACCATCACTGGTGAGAACTGTTAAAAATTAAAAAAAAAAAAAAACCAACCAAAAACAACCATTCAGTCTCTGGAAATGGTACTGAGAGCGTACAGCAATTGAAGACAATCTTCTAAATATGGGTAAAACCTGCAAGAGTCTGTGTCCTGGACTGTTTCCCTCTCCTACTTCCCAGTTCAGTGTGAGGAAAACTCTACTCTGGGTGGGCACAGCCGAGAGGATGGGGCTCCCTTGTAACCCCAGCTCCCTGTCCAGGGCTACAGTTTCTACCCAGAAAATCAGGCTGTCAGTATTTGTCATCAACGCCCCTTCCTCGCCCCAAGAAATGTGTTGCACAAGCTCTACTGCAGGCAAGTATGGCTGAGAGATCGCCTCTTCTAGAAGCCCCTACTCACAGGCTTGCAATTCTACCCCAGGCATGGCAGGCCAAGAATAAAGGGCCCCAAACCCTCTCGCCCTGTCTCGCTCATAGGGCTGAGTTTCTGTGCAAAGGGAGACAAGCCGAGAAGAGTTGGAGCTACTGCCCCTGTTCAGCACCCGATTCATAAAGCAGGAGTGTCTCTCTAAGAGAAGCAGGTTGCTGTTCCTGTATCCCTTTTCAGAGCAGTGGAATGGAGGTTCTGTTAAAGTGGGAGGCAGCCCCTAGAACAGAGAACTCCGTAAGTACCACTAAGGGAACTTTCTTTATTTGGAACAGAGTGTAGGGAAGTTCAAGCCTAAGGGCACTGTCAAAAACAATGGACGTTTAGGTAGTGAGCAAGTAGGAAGAGCTGGTTGCTCCATGGTATCTATACACGAAAGGGTAGACCGGTGAAGAGCCATTGTGGGGTCAGAGAAGTGTCAAAGACTGGCCTCAAAGTTTACTCCTGTGAAAATTACCCTGCACTTTAACTGAATCAGACTGTGGAGCAATTTCTGACCCAAGGCATGTAGAAAACAGTAGATCATTCAGCTAGCAATTACTGGGTGTGGAGTGATATCAACAGACATAGCAGACCAGATAGAAGCTTCACTGGGAGATCAGTGAGAGTAAAAGAGAACCCTGGTTTCACTGTCAACCTGGGTGAGAGAGGAAGAGGTCAAGGGGATTATGAGAATGGCCAAGGCTCTACCGACTGAGGGCAGCATTAGTGTCTGCGTAGAGAAATAGACTTTACTGAAATAGTTCATCCAAGTAGCTAAACAAATAAATAAGCAGATAATCAAACAACAACAAAACCTGGAGGTAGGGGAGGGGGAGAATCAGTATCAAGAATTACTACAAAGTTATTTAAAATGTCCAGTTGTTAACAACAATAATAAAAATGATACTCTATGCTGTCTGCAGAAGATAGAGTTTTAGATTCAAAGATACAAGTAGATTGACTGTAAAAGGGTTAAAAATGGTACACCATGCAAACAATTGGTAAGAGAGCCAGAGTGGCTATACAAATACCAGACAAAATAAACGTGAAGATTGAAAAAATGTTACTAGAGATAAAGAGGGACATTTTATAAAAATAAAAAGGTCAGTTCATCAAGAGGATATAGCAATTATAAACCTAACCTGTATCAAGTGGGATTAATCCCAGGAATGCAAGCTGTTTTAACATACAAATGTCATTTAATATAATACATCATCTCAATAAAGGACAAAGCCACATGGCCATCTCAATAGACCAGGCAAAGGCATTTGACAAAATCTAACACTGATTTTAAGAATACTCAACAAACTATGAATAAAAGGGAACTTCCTCAATATGATAAAGGGCATCTATAAAAAATCTGCAGCCAACATCATTCTTAATAATGAAGACTAACTGAATTCCTCATAAGATCAGAAACCAGATAAGAATGTCCAATCTTGTCACTTCTGTTCAGCATTCTAGTAGAGGTTCTAGCCAGGGCAATGGACAAATGAAGGATGTCAAAGTGGGAAGGGGAAAAGTAAAACTATCTTTATTTACATATGACATGACCTCTTATATAGAAAATCCTAAATAATTGACTAAAATACTGTTAGATCTAATATAGAAGTTTAGCAAATTTGCAAGATATGACACATACCAAAGTAAATTCTATTTTACAGTAAAATGAACACAACGAAATAAAATTGAAAAGGCAATGCCATTCACAATAACATCAAAAACTAAAATTATTAAGAATACTCTCAATAAAAGAGATGTAAAACTTGTATTCTGAAAAACAAAGTGTTGGAAGCAGTCAGAGAAGATTTAAATGTAGAAGTCTTCTTATCTGTGGAAGATACATTCCAAGACCTGCACTGGATGACTGAAACAGCCGATGGTACCTAACCCTATAGATACTGCGTTTTTATCCTTACATACCTACTTATGATAAAGTTAAATTATAAATTAGGCACAGTAAGAGATTAACAACAATAACTAATAATAAAATAGAACAATTGTAACAATATAATGTAATAAAAGTTATGTGAATGTGGTCTCTCTCAAAATATCTTATTGTACAATTTAATGCCTTTTTCCCTCTTAACTAAGCACTTTTAACAGTTTGAGGTGTGACAGCGAAAGTAGGACACATTTCTTTTTCCTTCTTCATAATTTCACAGATAGAAGATTCATTTTTACTGTAGGTCTTAGCCACCTCAGTATATGATTTTTTTTCTCCTTTCTTATTAAGTTGAGAACTTTCACCTTTTCACTTAAAGGAAGAACTTTATGGCTTCTCTTTAGCATATCTGAATTGCCAGCATCACTATTCTTGCGCTTTGGAGTCACTGTTAAGCAAAATAAGGGTCACCTGAGCACAATCACTGTATGCAACACCAGGACGATCAGTCTGATAACCTAGACAAGGCTACTTAGTGACCAACAGCAGGATATATATACTGGAAGAAAGGATGATTCACTTCCTGAGCTGGATGGAGCAGGACACAACTCAAGATTTCTTCACGCTACTTACAACGGCGCTCAATTTAGAACGTATGAATTGTTTATTTCTGGAATTTTCCACTTAATAGTTTTGGACCAAGGTTGACCAAGGGTAACAAAAACCACAGAAAGGAAAACCACAGGTAAGGAGGGAAAGACCTCCTTGTTCATGGGTCAAAAGACAATATTGTTAACATGGCAATACTCCCCCAAATGATCTACAGATTCAACACAATCTCTATCAAAATCCTAGGTGTCTTTTTTCTATTTTAGAAATTGACAAACTGGTCCTGAAATTCATATGGAATGTGCCTATAAGAGCCAAAAAAATATTGAAACAAGAAAACAAAGTTGGAAGATTCATACTTCCCAATGTCAAAAACTTGCTACAAAGCTACAGTAATTAGAATAATGTGGCACTTTCATCAGAAAGTACATATAGATAAATAGAATTGAGAAAGCAGAAATAAACCCTCATATTTATGGTCAATTGATTTCTGACAAGTGTTCTAAGACAATTAATTTGATAGGTTAAAAAAAATGACTTTTTCAACAAATGGCACTGGAAAACTTGAATATGCACATATAAAAGAATAAAGATGTACTCCTTTTTAATACCATACACAAAAATTAATTTAAAATGGATCATGGATTAAACGTAAGAGCTATACCCTAAAATTCATAGGAAAAAACCAGGAGTAAATTTTGATGATCTTGGATTAGACAAAACTTCCTTATATACACACCAAAACCCATAACCAACAAAAGAAAAAAGTAGATAAATTGGACTTCATCAAAATTTAAAAACAAAAAACACTATACTACCAAGGGAGTGAAAAGAGACAACTCACAGAATGGGAAAAAAATACTTTCAAATCACATATTTGATAAGAGACTTGTATTCTGAATCTATTCATAGCTCTTACAATGCAATAATAAAAAGATAAATAATCCAATTTAAAAATGGACAAAGGATCTGAAAAGACATCTCTCAAAAAAAGATACACAAATGAGCAGTAAACACATGAAAAAAAGCTCGACGTCATTAGTCCTAAGGGAGATACATACAGAAATACACACAAATCAAAACCGCAGTGAGATAGCGTTCACGTTCACTAGAACACTGGGCAAAAAAAGCCAACCAACCAAACAAACAAACAGAAAACAAGTAATAACCAATGTGGTCAGTGCTGGCAAGGATCAAGGATGTGGTGGAAATAAGTGCTATTGGAAATCTAAAATGGTGCCGATGCCGCGGAGAGGCTGGGCCCATGAGCCATGGCCGCTGAGCCTGCGCATCCGGAGCCTGTGCTCTGCAACGGGACAGGCCACAGCAGTGAGAGGTCCACGTATCACAAAATAAATAAATAAATAAAAGTTTAAAATGGTGCCGTTTGGCTGTTTCTTAAACGTTAAACACGGAGTTACCTATGACCCAACAATTCCACTCATAAATATATACCCAAGAAAAATGAAAACATATATCCAGTCAAAAACTCGTACATGAATATTTTTAGCAGCATCATTCACAACAGCCAAATAGTGGAAACAACCCAAATGCCTATCAAATGTTGAATGGATAAGTAAAATGTGGAATATCTATATGATGGAATGAAGTGCTGATATAGGCTACGATGTGGATGATTTTGAAAAAATTATGATAAATGAAAGAAGCCAGTCACAAAAGACCATAAGACTCTTTTAGTATGACATGTCCAAGACAGGCAAATCTGAAGAGACAGAAAGTAGATTAGTTGTTGCCTAGGGCTGAGGTGAGGGAAGTGGAGGTGGGGGATGCAGAGCCACTGTTCATGGCTGTGAAGTGTTCTTTGGGTTGATAAAATATTCTAAACTTGTGATGATGCTGCCACAGCTCTACGAGTATACTGAAAACTATTTGAATTGTATACCTGAAATGGGTGCATGGTATAGATTGTGAACTATATCTCGATAAATCTCCTTTAAAAAACTA